AAGGGCCATCCCCAGGCAGGGGTGGCGGCGAGGGTCAGCTGGCCCCACCAGCCCTCCTGGATGGTTCCGGAGCGATGGCTGGCGCCTTTACCGCCCGTGAGGGCCTGGCCCCGCGGAGCCGGCCACGACTGTGGCACAAGTCGTACGAGAGAGGAGCCAGGCAGGCTGTGCCAGCCAAGAGGGAGTCGTGGAGCTTGCGAGAGGGTGACTTCTTGAAGGTGAGGAAGAGGCCGGAACGAAAGCCTCTGTCCATCGAGAGGGCTCAAGGCTCAGAATTCTTGTTTGGGATTGCACCGTGTTCCCTGGCCCTCTCTCAGTCCAGAAGGAACCTGTTCAGGTTGTTCCTCAAGCAAAGCAACAACTCTCAGCGACTTGTTATGAGTGAATTTGTCCTTCAGGCCACGTCCCGGGGTGTCCCTGTGCACCATGTCAAAAGGAGAGAGCTGGATGCTCTCTGCAGAGGTCAGGTCCACCAGGGAGTTTGCTTGGAGGCCACTCCTCTCCATTTCAAGAGTTTGGAGGAAGCTGAAAAGCCTGATTTGGGGGATGGAGAGAGTACGAACCGACAGCTGATTTGGCTGGTGTTGGAGCAGATCCAGGATCCCATGAACCTGGGGGCACTGCTGCGCTCTGCGTACTTCCTGGGGGTGGACAGAGTGGTGACAAGCCAGAGGAACAGGTAAAGGGTTGGTTATCTACTACTTTAGCTTTTCTCTTCCTTTTCCTGCTGGCTTCCACAGGTTTCTAGCCTGCATTGCTCAAGAGCTGCTTTAGAGGGCTTTCTAGGACTGAGCTTGCGAGCTGAATTTGGCTAGCGCTGCTTTGCATTGTGCACAGCATGGAGGCTGTGGGACCTGGTATTCCAGGCTGGTAAGGCACCTCCCTGGGTACTTCGTTTTAAACTATTTTGTGTTTCAGTTGTCCATCTGCACACAGAACTGCTGTAACCTATTTCCTGAGTTAATTTCTCAGCCCTCTTATTCTCCATAGGAAAATATATCCATAAGATGTATGAGATCTGTAGTAGGACTGGTTGGAATTGGGTTGCAGACACAAGGGAAAGAAATACAGAAACAAAGCTTCTGGATTTCCTTTTTTGCTCTCATATGACGCTTTTCCTTTTTTCCTTGCAGCTGCCCATTGACACCGACAGTGAGCAAAGCTAGCTCTGGAGCTATGGAAGTCTTCGATGTCTACAGCACAGATGATCTCCGGAGCTTTTTGAAGGTAGATCCATGGTTTTTTTTCCCCTTTCCTTTCAAGAAACCTCAAATATTGCCTTTTTTTTTAAGAGAGAGTAGTTAACAGGAAAAGGACTTGGTCATTTGCAGGGTCCTCTGCTCCTGCTGTGCATTCCTGTTTGCTGCCGGTGGTCTGTGCTGTCGGCCCACCTCTTACAGGCATGCATCCCCAGTCCCATTCCATCGGGTGGGGTGACAAGTCTGAGTTGTGGGTCTTCTTCTGGAAGACGGCCATAGCAGGGTACCGCTGTGTCAGTCTCCCGTACTCGGGCTGCGAGCTCGGTAAGACGAGGTCCGTTTCCCTTTCTCTCTGAGGGGACCCGAGCCAGCGCTGCTGCACGGAGCGTGGCCGAGGCAGCATCCTGGGGCCCAGGCACATGGTGGCAGCATTGGGCAGCCTTTGGAGCAGGGGAGTAGAGGAGAAACTAGGGCTGATGAGAGCTGCTGGGAATCTTTTTACGCTGTACCTATGGGGCTGAAGTGAGATGAGGGCCCTTTGCAGAACGTGCTGCAAAAGGAAATAGAATGCACATAGAAAAAAATTATTTAAACTGAAACAAAACCAGGGATGTTGCTTTGAGTTGTCAGAGTGTGTCTGTCTCCTGTGGTAGCACTGTGTGACTGCCCTGGAGTCCTCGTGGAGGTCCCCTGTGTCCTGGCTGGGCTGGGGACTGGCTGAATATTGTGTGCATGGAACAGGGAGCTGCGGGCTCTTGTCTGCCCTCCCCTCTTCAAGTGGGATCCCCCAGACCTGGGGAAGCAGTGAGGCTTGGAGGGCAGAGGCTGCAGACCTCAGGGTGATGCAGGCACCCAGACTGTGCTCCTGGGGTTGCAGCGTATCCTTTGAGGAAGAGCTTGTCATAGTCTGGTGTGACCGTGAGGCTGAGCAGAGGTAAGCCTGGACTCTTCCTGCTTGGTGCTAGAAAAACCTTGTCTAGCTGTACAACAGGTCTGTGGCAGCTGGAGCTCTGGATGATGGTGAAATGAACAATACGTAAAATATGTTGATTTTAATTGAAACAGCTGGAAGAATCACTTTGTTACTGTAAAGCTTGAATTATTAACATTTTGAGCCATTGCAGCAGTTCATTTAATTGGACCCAGATTCACTGGCCTAACCCTTGGCATTGCCTGGCTGGTGTAAATTTGATATACCGTAATGTAAAAAGTGCCAGTTTCACAGGAAATGAAGCTGGCAAGAAGCAGCAGCTCTTTTATTGTTAAAATGGATTTCCAAGACAAATAATTAAGGCTCTTTTTACTAGGATGCGGGAGGGAAGGCTGGTTATGTGAGGCACTGAGTGTTGAGTGCCCTGCCTTTTGAATGAGCTGATTTTTGGCATCTGAGTTTGAAAATGTGCATTTGTGTTTGAAAATGTTCCTGTGGGCTTCTGATGGCTGAGCCTGCACTTGAGAACTTCCACTGCACGGCTCTGTGGATTAGCCTTATGCTAATTTGTTTAACTGTACTCTTTTTTTGTATGATTTCCTGGCAAAAACCTTCCCAGAACTGTTGTATGAGGGGGAAAAAAAAAAAGCTTTTCAGTTGCTGTTTGTTTGCTGAACTGGAATAAACACCAGAAAGAAAATTACTTTTACTTTTTTTTTCTTTCTTACTTTTTTTTTTTCTCTCCACTCTTAAATCAAGGTTTGTGTGCTAGTACTGGGAGGACTTTGGTGTAAAAAATTCAAGGAATGCCAAAAAAACCCTAGAAAAAACATTCAGCTTAGTGGAAAATGTAAAAAAAAAAAAAAAAAAAGGTGTGTCTGCATACATGACTTATTTTCTTTGGAACCTTGAAAAGTAGGCAACTTTTTAACGTTTCTTTCGTTTCCCTTTCTAGGCTAAAACTGCAGAAGGTTGGGAAGTTGTGGGAACGGTTAGCAAGCCTGAGGATGTGGAAAATGTTCCTGTCATCAGTTGCTTGGAATTTCAGTGGACGAAACCCGTTATTATAGTCATAGGTATTACAATTTACAGAGCTTTGGGCTTGGTGGAAGCACATGTGTGAGGGAACGATCAGGGTGATCTTTCACTCCAAAGCTAGCTGCAGGTCTGTTACCTTACATCACACTTTGGTCTGGAAGAAAAAAGCTGAGCAAGAAGTACTGGAATGATTTGGTTGCAAATGAAATAGGGACCCAGAAAAAGAGGGGGAGCCAAGAAGCCTCCTGGTAGGAACTGCAAGAACAAACCAGTTTGGTGAATGAACAGGGAATTGAGTAGCTGCAGAGGACCTAGATGGCAGTTCTTGCTGGCAGGACAAGTCTGGGTCAGGGCAGCCACAGCATGTTGTTTTGCATTTTCTGTGGCATTTTTGATCCTGTCCTAGAGCCCTGAACCTGGATTTCTGTGTTGGTGAACCACAAACTGAGTGAGAGACCCGGGAGGTAGGTTTGCTCTTGCTGCGCTGCGGCTGTGATGGTGAGCTGTGCCCCATTTTTGCTCTTGTCATGTTTCCTCTTAAAAAAACAGGATTCTTTCTCTGTGCCCAGGTCTGGAAAGAAGCATGAGGTTGGGGGCGATGGTCTGAACACAAAACTGGGCTCTGTGGGATGGAGAGCACCATGGAGACCAGTCGGTGGCTGCTTTTGTACGTGCAGGAGAAGGCAGGAGCTGCTGGCTGCTGTGATAGTAGCAGGAGGACTGGGTGGAACCTCCCCCTGCCAAACCTGCATGCCATTTGGGCAATGGGTGCCAGTTCCCTGAGCACCTAAACTGGGCGATTCTTACAGGGCCTTGGCTTCTGCCCCCTCTTTGTGTAGAGGATACTTGTAAAGGATGCTGTCTTTTGTGACAGAGTTTGGGGTTGTGCAGCCTCCCAGAAGGTGAAGAGAAGGGGAGTAACAGCCTTGTGGCAGCTAGAGAAAGAAATTCACACAGGAGTGCTGCTCTGGGCACCCTTGTTGCGGCCGTGCCGTAGCCCCCAACTTGGTGTCACCTGGCACAAGGGCTGGTTTGAGCTTTTACACTTGGAAGTAGTGTCATGCTGGCAAAGAGCCATCAAGGGGCTCTAATCCTGCCCCGTGCTGCTGTTTTCTTGGCTCAGAAGACATTCCTTTAATTAAAATGTTTATTGAACTAGAAGTACTGACAAGACAATGCCACAAATCTGGCATCTCTGCAAGATGTGTGGAGCTATATTATAAAAGGAGTAGGGAGGCTGGTAGCGCTGCTGATGGACCACAAAGAAATGCATCCCAGAAAGAACGACAACACCAGGAGAAAGGAAGGGGGTGAAAGTGGCAGTGGTGTCGTTACCTTGAGTTATGAGAGATTTCTTCAGGAAAAAGTCCAAATATCCTTTTGTCAAGGGAGATTGGAGGCTGATTGGTAGATGCATGAGGAGAGCTCCCAGACCTTGCAGCAGTAATGATTTCAACTCTCTGCTGAGCACTAACTCTTTGCTGAAAAGAAAATTGAACATTACAGTCGTCGGATGCTGAGGTTGTTTGAAGAAACGTCCTAGATCTGAATATGTAGCGTACCTGCAGCTGCAGAGAGCAGCAGAGATAATTTAGCATGGTAGTGAGCTTCCTAACATTGCAGAGATTGTCTTGTGAGTTAAGCATTTTCAGACTTGAATTCACCCTCCTGGCATCCTCGCTGGCTCGGCAGAGAGTGATTTGGGCAGTCCAGCTTAATGGTGTCTGCACTGGAGTCGTTGCCGAAGGTGACAGGCAGGCTGCCTGCCCCGGAGCCTGTGAGCCTTGTGCGAACAGGAACGGATTGGGAGCAGTTAGAGGTCTGAGCAAGAGGAGTTTCTGGGTAATTTGTTCTTACACATTCAGTCTTTAGTTTGGGGTTTAAGACTGGTCATGGTGGTTTTACTGAGATGCTCATGTTGCGTATTTCTCTGAACTGCCAGGATTTGAACTGGAAAATGCAGTTGTTACAGTAGTGTTAATTGTAAACAGGGCAGGAAACCTGTTTTATCGTTTCAGCCAAGCTCTAACTCTGGTCATTGAGGCCTGTCAGTGAGGGGAAAAAGGTAAGAGATGGAAGTCAAAGATCTGAAGTGGGAAGAGTTTTGTTCACCAGTAGGACTTAATCTGATTGAGTCAATACTCCCTCCCTTATATCACAGTCTCTGCAAGTCTTTTTGCCCTGAATTTATGGTTCCTAATTATTTTAAGCAGCCAGAGTCATAAAAAGCTTTGTAAAACCTGGAAGCAAAATTGCTGTCTTTATTAGGAATTGTAAGACCCTTATCAGGGAGAGGAGAGGATTGCCCCAGGAGCTGTTGTACCTGTGGCAATAGCTGCTGTCCCAGCTGGGGAGTCCCGCGTGTGGTTGGACAGGTTCAGGGGATAAAAATGGCTGTAACTTGTAAAAGTTTTCTGTGTTGAATCAAGAAAATGTAGAATTTTTTTTTATTTAAAATTTAAACATCCCTAGAGAGCCACAGTCTCGGGATGAAGCGGCAACCAGGCTGTGGGAGGCCTGTCTCCGATTCCTGGTGTTGCCCAGGCTTCTCACGTGACCTGGAGATCTCACCCAGCTCTCGTCTGCACTTCTGGCTTAAAGAAAGAAGGAAGAAAATAACGGGTGGAAAATAATGGGTTTTGGGTTTCTGAAGGTTCACTCAGCCCAGCCAAAAGATGCGTTTGCCAGTGGGGTTTATTTCCTGCGGGAAGGGGATGCAAGATGCGTTACCTGAAGCATTCTTTTTGCTCGCACAAAATGCATCTCTCAGTTAGATCAGGCCAGCAAAACCTGAAACAGCCTCCGCTTCCGGTCTGTGAGATGGGAATACCGGCGTCCTCTCCTTGCGTGGTCTGCGGGGTATTGCACAGCTCAGTACGTAGGGACAGGGCATGGGTCCTGCTGGGGGGGGCTGTAAACCAGGGGAAGAATTCTGTGGCAGTGCAGCTGAGCAAGGAGCTCATTTGCCTTACTGAGGAGCGAGTCTCCAGCAGTGACGGCGCTTAAACCATCTGTTGATGCTGTTAAAACTTCAGGTGAGTGTCTGAATTTAGGTGAGTGTGGGCAAGTCCTTGGTGATGGCACTGGTCACGCAGGCCGAGGGGCAGGAGCCCTCAGTAGGGCACGTGTGTCCCAGCAGTGCCATCCCAGGACGAGTCTGGGGTTCAGGCGGGTCGGTGTATGGCGGCTGAAGGGGAAGGTTTGGCTCCCAGCATGCTGAGCCCGTTTTGTCAGAGGGTGAGCACGTCTTGGAAACAAGCTTGGGTATTCTTGCAGCCGTGTAGCTGTCTGTGTAGCTCTAAATAATGAATGTGGAAGAATTCTTTGGGGACCTGGGTGGGCTGGGAGGTCTGTGGTCTTCTGCATTTTCACTTGTCTGCACGCAGGATTGTTTAAAGCCTCTCCCTTTCCATTTCCCTTTGTGACAGTGTGAGTCAAACAACTACTAATGACCTGGGATAGATTTCAACTCTGTTTCACCAGTGTATCAGCCCAAACATATCAGGGCTGTTGGATGGTTTAACAACTAATCAATTGAAGCCTCTGGTTAAACTGTCTGCTTTCACAAGTTACACCCAGCTGGTGGTACTGTGTGCTGAAAAGGCTGAACCCGTCACTATCAATAGGGATGTGGGATTTGCTGGACCGGATCAGGCCTGTGGCCTCATCCGCCTCGTCCCTCTGGCAGCAGCCGGCGTACATGGGCAGCTGTCTGCTGGCACGGTGGCTGCTTGCGCAGGGGATCTTGGTGCTCAGACTACAAGGCTCTGCGCTTGACGCTGTGCACACAGGCCTGTTGCACAGGTATTCCTCAAAAACACTTCAGGTACTGGAGAACAGATCTGGGGAGGCTGGAGTGGGCCAGGAAGGGGCGGCAGGTAAGGTGCTCGTCTCACCTCTGGTAGTTCTTGGCTGTCGCTGCACGGGAGCTGGTGAGGTTGCTGGTGACCTTAGGGCCAAGGGTGTAGTTGTGACAGAGCGTCGGCAAGAACTGTACTCGTGAGGGGGGAAAAGGGACGTGGCAGCGTCTGTGAGCTGACCTGAGCAGTGCCTTTGTTCTGCAGGTAGCGAAGGTGATGGACTTTCCCTGGAGACGCAGCTCTTGTGCCATCGGATGCTGGCCATCCCCCCCGGCAGAGCGCTTCACCCCGGGATTGAGTCGCTGAACGTCTCTGTTGCTACTGGTAAACGTGCTTCTGAGCACAGAGGCATCACAGTCCAGATTTCTGTATTTAAGAATCAAACAAACACCCTGGCCCACAGAAGATCTTTTTTTTAAAATGTATTTTTACTTTCCTACAGGTATTCTCCTGCACTCCATCTGCAGCCAAAAGCTGAGACACGGTGATTGAGTCTACTTGGCGACTTTCCTACAGGTATTCTCCTGCACTCCATCTGCAGCCAAAAGCTGAGACACGGTGATTGTTCCGTGGCTGTGCCCTGTCACTGTGGATACAGAAGTGATCTTCCCACCGTCTTCACTGTGGCTGCAAGTTCCAGGGGGGGAGCCCCATCGACCTGAGCTGCATCTTGGCTGGCGCACGGTACCACGAGAACTCTGGCTTAACGCTGAACTCAGACCTGCATGTAGTAGGTAACACCTCCCATCGGCACCTTGGATGAGGGCTGTAAGGAAGGCAGACAAAGTTAGGTGTTCAAAGCAGACAGCCAAATCCTTCCGTTTTTGTAGGAAAACACGCGGTGATGGCTGCGAGCCTCGTGCTTGTTGGGCTTTGTACATCGCTCGTGCAGCGGAGAGGATTTGGGCTGTTGGTGAAAGACGGTGCTGCCACTGAGAGCAGCGGTGCCCTGACCCCACACCCACTGCCCCCTTAGCAGCCAAGAGGGTGCTGGGGATAACCAGGTATGATTTGGGATTACTCAGCAGCAATTTCTTCACGAAGAAGTGGTTTCTCTGTTACATATTGCTGCTTGAATGTCTGGAAATGCACCGTGTTGCATTTGGTTGTAAACCAGGTCTGCAGCCCTGCCCAGGGATGGGCATGAGCTGTCAGGGAGCAGCGGTAGTGGGGAAAACCGCAGCCTGTTGAAATAAAACCTGTAAAGGTTGGTTGTAGACTCAAATCAATCGTTTTTGTGTCATATGTAAATCCAGAGTGTGCTGGCTGAGTGGAACAGGGCAATGCCTTCAGGTGGGAAGGGGAATCAGGAGCTTGTTCTCCCAGGGAAGTTTCCTTTCCGTGGTGAGCCTGACCCTACGGGATGCTGAGCTGCCCCAGCACCACCGTCCCTGCTGATGGCGTGGGAGGGGGTGAGGGTGGCTTCATTTGCAAATATCCTGGTTGAAAACCAGGCTGGCTAAATTATTGAGAACCAAATGAATGTTATCACTTAGCACCTTAATTATTTTATTTAGCTACTGTGGCCCTTTGCATAGGATTCCTCATTAACACTTAATTTACAGTGCCCTTTAGGGATAATTTCAAACAATTCAGCTTAGTCTCCTCCCTCCCCCCCCTTCCAAATGAACAAGTAAATCACTCAGAGTGACTAATTAGGACTTTCCTTTGAGCTAAATGAAGTCTGTAAACCGGTCTGTGGATGTGGAGGTTTTTCAGATGAGTCCCTGGGAGGGATTGGCCGGTGGGTGCTGCGGCGGTGGGTGGCTGCAGGGCTGGGGACGCCCCAGGTGCCCGGGATAGGGGCAGGACACAGATGTGGCCATGGGGTCCAGCCTGTGAGGGAAGGGCAGACACAGTGGCTGGCACTGGGCCTTCGTGCAGCCCTTTGCCTGGTTGGGGCCTTACCTCCCTCCCCTGCTCAGAGAGCTAGGTGTGGGGGCCATGGAGGTGTCTCGGGGCCACGGCTGCCCCTGCAGCCTGCAAGGGGGGTTCCTCGAGGAGCCCCACGAGAAGGTTTGTGCCCTCCTGGCTTGCAGGTGGGATCCTGCACAGCTTTGCAGTGAAAGCTTTGCTTTTCAAAGGTGTCGAGTTCTCCTGTGTCTGCAGCCGTGATGGAGAGGGTGCCTGGCGCGGTGGCACATATCCCGAGCTGTGTCTGCCCTTTTGCCCTGTCCTGTGGAAAAGCACAAACCCTAAATCCCCCCCAGATGACGGCTGTTGGGCAAGCAGGGCTTTGTGCCCAGGTCCGAAGGCAAGCTGGTCACCGAGTAACTGAACTGGTGCATTGCTGGGGCGACAGCTCTCGGGCGGGCGTGGGGTGCTTGTGTTTCGAGAGCTGGATGTGTCTTTTAATGCTGAAACAGAAAGGCTGGGGGCCAGGGAGGCTGCAGGCAGCCCCGCTGGTGCTGCCCCCGCACCCGTGGGTGTCCCAGCAGAGGGGGCCCGTGGCTTAGATTTCCTCGTTTTTCAGAGGAAGGACAGCGCTTGGGGCTGACTGAATCCTTCCTGTCCAGCAGCAGCGGTGAGGATAAAGCCGTTTCTTTATTCTTGACCTATAGGTTAGCATACATATTTTTCTAATTTCATAGGAACTGCAATTTCTCCTTTTTTCTTTATTTCAGCAGTGCCTTAATAAGACGAGGCACTTTGCTGGCTTTGCACGTGTTTGGGAAGCCGTGTGCTCTCAGGCTGTGCTCAGCCATGCCAGCTCACCCCCTCTAAGGAGGAGGCAGGTGAGTAACAATGGAGCAGCTACTTTACTTCTGGAAGGCTCCCAAAAAGCTTTGACCCCTCGATGCCGGTGGGGTGAGTGAGGTGGATTCAAGTTCCCGCAGTCTGTCTGTCAGTCCAGCGCCCATCGGGACTGCCCTGTGAATGTCTCCCTACAGAGCTCTGTCCAGTGGAGCACCTTGATTTGGTGCTGGAGTGTCAGAGAAGGCTGATGGGGAGTCACATCAGGCTTGAATTTTAAGAAGCAAGAATTTGTGTGGGTAACTAGGGCTGCAGCGCATTTTTACGTCAGACCTGTGGTACAGGCTGTTTGAGCGCAGTGATTCCCACTCCGGACAGCTCTGCTGTTTGCATTTAGCCCGCTTCCCTCCCTGGTAAATTTTGGCCCTGCTTTGTCACTGGGATCCCCCTCTGCCATCACACGGCTTTGGTGTACCTGCTGCGGCTGATCTCCCTCAGCCCCAGCTCCATCCTGCTCCGAGCTGAGACCTGCGAGGAGCATGGGGACCCCTGCACACTCGCACCTTTGGAGATGGAGCTTTGTGCTGTGTGGTTTTGCCCCTGATCTAATAAATGCAACCCATTAACTGGAGAAGCAGGCAATGATCCAATTAATTTCCTGGATATTTTTAAATGTTAAAATGTAGTTTTTATAGTCTTTCATTATTTTTAGCCTTAAGCTTGACTATAATCGTCCCTGTAATGTAACTGTAAAAAACTCCCAGCTTTATGATATAAAGGAGGACATTAATTGTCATTTTTTGTGTACATCAGCAAGATCAAAACATGTTTCCTGATTACTTCTGTTTGTACATACAGTCTCTTTGATATTTAGATATGAATAAAGTGTGTGTGTGTAATTTGAAAGTCAATTCTTCCCTCCCTGCTGCTTGTCAGGGATTCCTTTCAGAGGCTTATTTACCAAATTGATTTTAAAATTTAGTAATTGCCCTTCCCATATGATTCCTCAATGATGAAAGTGTCTGTAAGCAGAGTGGCAAAATGCTTGTCCTCCTTGGTTCAGAAGATGCGCTCCGTGCCTCAGCCTTTCATCCTCAGACGATGGCAAACACGAATCTTTTCACCCCCCAAAATCAACTCCGGGGCTGCGCGAGAAGCTCCGCTCATGCCCCAGATTTCGGTTTTGCGCGCAGGTTACCCACACGACTGAAATCCTGTTCCACCAAATCCATCGTTGGGTCTGGATGGGGTTTGCCGAGGCAGGAAGGGCTCTGGGACAGCCAAGGCCGCCTTCGTCTGTGGGAAGCCCGGGGTGGTTCCCCAGCTGAGGGGAGCAGCGTGGGGAGCTGCTGGGCTGGGGCAGGAGTGACCGGTGCTGGCGACCCGCCCAGGGGACACCTTCCTTGCCCGAGGTGGGAATCCTCCACTGCCGCAGTCCCGATCCGAGTCTGTAAATGTAATCAACCTTGAGGTCTTGTTACTTCCACAGGTGCAATTAACATTACCATCTGCTAATCCGTGATTAACGATGTTTACAAATATGCTACAACATGTTAAAATGTGCCGGCACTCTTTTTTTTCTATTTCTCCCCCTTTCTCCCCCCCTCCCCGTGCCGGCGCAGGAGCTGTGCCGCCGGCAGTGGCGCGGGAGGGCTTTCCTGGTGTAGCGTTCCCCGTACCCCGCCGTTAATTTAGAGACATTCTGTTTTCATTATTTAAAAGTGCTGTTAAACTCCAAACCAGCTGCGGGAATGACAAGTTCAAATCGGAAGGTCGGTGCTACTTAAATAGGATTTAATTGCACAGGGGTTGAGGTACAAACTGATGAATCTGAATAATAAAACTTTGTGGGGAGCGACATATGGCGCAGCTTAAAGTGAATTTTAATTGATCATCCCACAACTGATGTGTTAATGGGATGGCAGGCTTTGCTTTGGGTTTGATATCGATGTGGAGTTTTAATAATGTCACACAGGAATATTGTGGAGGGGGTTATAATATTTTAAAAAAAGAAGTGTTATCTATTAACTGCCTCTTTCTTCTTAACGCAGAGAGGAATACATTACGTCGCTACCCTATGTCCTCCAGATCTAGGTTACGTGTAATTGCTCAGTAATTGGTAGAACCATGTAAAAGCCATGGTATTTGCCAGTAAACCCTCCTAAGTTACCATGAAATTGAAGTGTGATATTTATTCTCTACAAAACTTGCTACCCAAATCCCGCGTGCGATCAGGTTGGGTCACCGCAGAGGTGCCTCCGCGGTGGCTGTCTCGCGGCTGCACGGCTCCCGTTCTGCACCGACACCATCCCAGGGGCTGAGGTGGTTCTGGGTGGGAGCTGCAGGGGTTATTTGGCTTCAAGGGAAGATGCTTTAACCTCCCTTGGGCTTCAGTGTCAGGGTTATTAAAGGTATTCTGAGCCCCAACTCAACATGGCAGAGGTTTTGGAGATAGCTGAAGCAGTTCTCACGCGTTTTCAGTGGAACTGGGAATAATAATTACACTCCCAATGTTTTTTGAAGCCTCTGGAGACAAAATATTTGGCAGTACGTTGGGGTACATCCTCAGGTTGCCTGTCTTTTAGCCTCTTGTTAAGTAGGGCATCTAAAACTGTTCCCACCTTGGCAGTTTCCATGACTTAACCACAACTCTGTTTCGGGGACCTTCAGCGCCGCAGACGTGCGTGGCCTCACGTGTGAGGAGCCTCCACTCGTGGCTTTTTCC